GGCCTCTCTCCATTTCTCCCGGCGTCCCTCAGGAGCGTCTCAATCTTCCCAGCACTCGCGCCCTGGCCTCTCTCCATTTCTCCCACCTGCCCCTCAGGAGCGTCTCAATCTTCCCAGCACCCGCGCCCTGGCCTCTCTCCATTTCTCCCGGCGTCCCTCAGGAGCGTCTCAATCTTCCCAGCACCCGCGCCCTGGCCTCTCTCCATTTCTCCCAGCGCCCTGGCGGAAGCTTCTGGAGAGGAAACCAAGGGCTGGGATCCCAGAGACGTTTCTCAGATGCACCCAACCTGCGGGGTCTCTGGCTCGACCCATATTCCACTGTCTCAAAACCCAGTGCTGCTCATACTGCCCAGGGGAGGAGAGCAGGGCAGCTCCTGGGGAGACAATAGCCCAAGTCTGCAGTGTGGCCCCCTCAGAACGGGGGCTCATGTACAAAGCCAAGGAGGCGCCTCTGTACACATGGGCAGGGCCAAACACCAGCTGCCATCCCCTTCCCAGTGCACCTGAAGACACCCCTGTTCCATTCCAGCTAGAGGTTGGCCTGAGCTGGGCTGTCCAGGTGAGTGAGACGCTGGCAGACCACGTGCCAGCTCATGCCAAGGCCCCAGCCTCACTGAACACTGACAAATATGGAGCTGGAAACCGGTCTGGCTCACCTGCGGGTTAGCCTTGGGAAGATAAATATTAGAGTTGTAATGATGGGTGTGATGCCTAGACCTTCTGAATCCGGTAGGATGCTGCTTGTATTGATTTCACTTGCAATCTCTGTAACCTGTGGTGTGATGTTGTATCGAGCGTTTGCATTGCAAACCTCTGTACTTATGTAACTCATTGAACAGGAAAGGAAGCATTCATTCAGGGAAAGTGCTTGCCCTGCACCCGAGGGGGCCCCCTGATGGCAGATGAGGCAGTGTGGACCATCCAAGGACAGAGACCTTGTTGACTGCGTGCCTCGCTCCCTCCAGGAAGGGGAGACCTGCGCACGAACTCATCCCATCAGCTTGGATTCCGGGGCAAGGAGGGGAGATAAAAATCCCTGAGATCTTCTTGCTGCCTGGACTCAGAGGGGCAAAGATTCCTAAACACAAGCAAGAGATGCCCATGCCGCTTGGCCTGGGTTGGCCCTAAAGGACACACACAGCTACTTGTTATAGAACCTGACAGTACCTTCTTAAATCTAAGACTGTAACTCAGTTGTGCGCATGTTTCCTGTTTTAACCTTGAAAATAACCCTCATTTCTCTTCTTAGTTAATAAATCTTTAGTTCGTTTATTACAGGATTGGCTCGAGGCATTGTCTTGGGTTTGAAATCTGAGGTACAACTGACCTGGGTAAGTGACTGGTCCTTTGGGACTGGGAGTAACCTGAATATTGTTGTGATTTTCAGTGTAAAGTGACTATCACTCAGTCCAGTTTGCCGGTGATAGACTGGAGTGCCGAAGGGGACTGTCTGTGACTCCGTGGTGAGGCGTTCACACTCGTTTCTAATTACAGAACATACCGCTGGTCTGGGGCGTCTGCCCTGCTTTCTGACCATGCCCTGAGGCTGGCACGCCCGGTTGTGAGCCACTCCAGACAGCGAGCACAGCTCTGTACGGTACCAGCTGGTACCATCAGCCTGCAGGCTCCCTAGGAAGGGGCATCTGGGCAGAGTCACCCATACAGCAGCAGTGGGGCAGCATGCACAGCGCCTGGTTGGAGGAGGGGTGGCTCAGGCAGCAGAAGCCAGTCCCGTACACAAAGGGACTTGACCCCAGTCCCGAGTCCCTTAGCTGTTTGGAAAGGGCCCTACATAAACTTCTT